CTGGAGGCTTGTTCAAGTCACCATGAAATTAAAATTGACAATTCTTTTTTTTATGGAATATCACAGTGTTTATTATAAATTATTTATCTGTGCACATCAATATTTCTTAACCCTATAAAGCCTACTGTATCATATTTGATACACAAATTTCTAAGGCCCCTGAATTGACAACATGATCAAAACTTTGTTGAAAAACCTGTTGTACTCAATATGCTACATTTCTTTTTTCATCTTGGTATACTTTTAGCAAGTAAAAGGCCTTTTAGTATAATTCTAAAAAAAAATAAAAATAAAAAATGCATGAAATGTTTTGCCCGCCACAATAAAACAAACCTTAGATCAATAAACTAAGCATTTAAATATGATCTTACTAAAACATTATTGGGAGATATAAAGTGACAAATGCCATTTATATGCAAGCTGTATTTTATGCAAGTAGTCTGCTATACTGTTATAAAGTTCTCATTTACATTACAAGCTATTAGAAATGTTCTTACCTTCTGGCCATATTAATATCGTCAACAGTACCAAATTGCTCACTTCGGACCTCTAAATAAATTTTTTTTTTTTTTTCCTCCTCAAATATGAGCTCTATATTCTCCTATATAGGTCTATCATACTTTATAAAAGTAAAAGCCTGATGTATCAATATCATACTCAACGATCCAACGATAGAATCAGTTCCCAATGGACAAAATCATGTCCCACAGTAAATTTTTTCTACTTCAAGAAAATGTTTCACAATAAATGTCACAACAGGGAAGAAAAGATGATCACAACATCCTTTTCATATTTCAGAATTAGCCTCTTTTGTCACCATTTTATTCCAGCTTTTAAATCACAACTCCTGATTTAACCAACAGCAAAGCTAAATCCATTCCAAACATCTTCAAGATATAAATACCCATTTCACTTCTTCAACTGATGCTTTGGAGTCCTCTCGTGATTTTCACTGGGGACGAGACTGTGAGATGAAGATCTAAATAGGCTTTTCTCAGATTAAAGTGTCCCTCCTCAGCCAAGTCCAACATGACGACTACAACACAACACCAGAAACTAAAAGCAAACATTAGCTTAACCGTAATCTGTTGCTTAAACCATCTTCTGACCCATTAAGAAGCTTGAAATTTGGCTCAAACTGATAAATTAAGTGTTCAGAAATCCATCCACCATAAATGAAGGTAGCTGATAATAAAATGACTCCAGTTCAAACTCATACAAAAAATCATTTATTTTTTCCACGAGAGAACATTGTGAAGCCAAACAAAGAAAGACACTTAGCTCTCACATCCACAGCAAAGAACACAGGGTGGTGTGCTAATTTAAACCATAAATCTCAATGGCATGTCAGGGGATCAGTAGATAGATGTACAATATTCACTGGGGAATATTTTGTCTGGCTCTTATATCATTACATGACTCACCAAACATCTGCTCTAATGTATCATATTATAGAGTACAAGCTCAGATAGAGACATTTAAAGTCTTTTAAAAACCAAGGACGAATAAAAAGATGAGTGATGTGCCTATGAGACAATTCTAACCTGCCATTATTCTTTCCCACGCACAAAGACGTGTTGCTTGCAGAAGACAAAAACTGATCAGAGACAAATGCGAGATAGGGATGGAATGCAAATTCAACTGTAGATCAGTGCAAGAACAGATCGAAGAAAAGAGACAGCAGAAGTAATGGAAAATGCTTGGTCACAAAAAGGATTACAGATAAACTGCATGAAAATGTCTGTCCTCTTGTGAATAGTAGGCCTATAGCATGAGTTATTAATTCCCTGCATTAAAAAAAAAGTTATGCCAATGGAAATCTGAAAAGCATTTTTCTGCAAATGTAGTTGCTTATGAATTAAACAGCATACATTTCTCTGTCTTCAAATCAATTTAATTTTTTATTTATTAATAAATGCATAATATATAGTACAGAGAATTAGGGCTGCACGATAAATCGAAATGGAATCGAGATCGCGATTCGACAGAAGCTGCGATTGTCATGCGTATCTTTCAGTGAAGCACGGTTCTGTGATCAGCAGTAAATCTCCATCCGAAGGCCAGAGGGTGCTCTCATGCAGAAACTCTAAATACGCCTCGCAGAAGAAACCCAGAAAATGCTGCAGCTGAATAAACAGACAATTCAACTGCTTTCATTGATTCAACGTGACTAATAAACACACGACTACGGCAATATACGGTTTATCAGAGTTCTTATTATTATAATTTTCATTAAAATAAAGTATTTTTATAATGCAATGCCTTTATCACTGCTTAAATACTATGAAATATGTCTGCTATTTTTTTGCGTAACTTGTCAGTGAACTACGGCTACGTGTAGTAAATTCTGCTCCATCTGAAAGCACGTGATGATGATGATGAATGATTAATAATGTTTTAGAATCGGAATTTAACACTTATGGTCTTATTGACTGGTTTAATAAGGCCAGCTTCAGAAAGTCTCAAGTGTTGCTGCATGCAGAAACTATGACTGCTGGGCACTGCAGCAGTGAAATGGATTTATCATTGACTTTCTACTGCTCTCCCACTCACCTTTCTACGTGTCTCTTTCCGTTCACCCTGCTCGAGCCTATCATCATGCGTCCTTCTCTCTGCAATATTCAAATCCATTCATTCTTTGCATCACACCATCTCATTCTTTCTCACCATCTCTCCTTCGAGCTTCATCTTCCACTCTCCCTCAAATCAAAGACAGAAATGTTTGGTGTGCTGCAGCCTGACTTGATTAGACATGGATCTCTGAGGGGCACTGCTGCTTCCTTCATCCATCTATTATTACATAATAGTCATCACTATGGAAAACGGCACTTGGCTTTTATACAACTTCACTTTCTTCATATTTTTTTTCCACCCCACCCACTGTATTAAATAATCATTGAACAGATGAGGACATTTCTTGTTAATTTTTAAACAATATTTTCCTTACATAATCATGCTGTCTTGTTTGTGGAAAAAGCTTTGTTTTTCATAAATGTTTCCTAATGTATAGGTGGCTGGACAATGACCAGCCTTATAATATATCAGTTATCTATGGCACATTAGAGGTGTTCAGCAAATCAGCAAAAAAAGCTTTTAGAAAGTTGTGGGGTTTTTTCTTTAGTAAATATATACTATAGATATTTGTTCACGTTAATGCAAAGTACCACTCTGCCCAAATTAGAAATGTGCCACACACACACACAAAAAAAGAAACCTAACCCTGATAGCACAAGTACATCACGGAGACATCTATTTGACTTCTGCAAGATGTATATTTTAGAGTGTTTGCTCATCTGCAATACGTCTATAGGACGTTTCCTATCAGATGTCAATTAGATGTTTAGAAAATGCCTTTAAGATGTTTATCATTTAGAATGCATGTAAAACTGACATCTTAGAGACGTCTTTCAGATGATTGTACACAGCAGATGCTGTCCTGGTGAAGCGATCTTTAACAGACATCTTGCAGACGTACCTGTGCTATCTGGGGCCCAGTCCACACGAACGCGGTTATTTTTAAAACCGCAGCTTTTTCTACGCGGTTTGGCCGTTCGTCCACACGTAAACGCAGCACCAGGTCACTGAAAACGCCGGTTGCAGTGTTATCGTGTAGACAGCGAAACCGGAGTTTTTGGCTTGTGACGTCGGCGCCTGCGCTGTTATCTCCGCCTACTGGAAACTTTTTCAGGCTTCTGATTTGCCAACATGGCTTTACGGTTGAGATTATATCGCCACCTGTTGGTTTGGCATGCTCTTGACAGTGCTTCATAGCATGCGTTTGCATTTTCATGTAGACGGAGATTTTTTTTAAAAACGGAAGGAAAAACTCGTTTATAAAAATACACACACACACACACACATCTATTAGATATCAGTCCTAAAGTATCCCAAAGATATATCAGTACCAGTAATCAGTAAACAAAACTCGAAAAAAACAACTATGTAACAAAATCATAGTTTGTTTTCTTACTATAAAACTATAGTCAACTGAAATTTAATATAATGTAATGGTTGTGAATCGTTCACCCAGAAATGTTATTGACAAAGTGTTGGTACAGGATTACTACAGTAACGAGTTAGCAATACGATAAGCGAGTTCTGTCGCGAGGACACGTGACTCGTTCCACAGCAATCGAGCAGGAGATCAATCCCGCTTGTTTTCACGGCGAGATACGTTCATAAGTGTGCGTGAAAAACGTTTGTGCACAACCAAGAACTATAGCAGTGCCTATTGTGATAGCAGCTTTTTGCTGCTCCCGTGACATGACAACAGTAGGTACTCAGCTGTTATGCACAGCATTGGACAAAAACAGCCACATATACACAATGTATACAGCGCGAGAAACGCAAAGTGTTGGTACAGGATTACTACAGTAACGAGTTAGCAATACGATAAGCGAGTTCTGTCGCGAGGACACGTGACTCGTTCCACAGCAATCGAGCAGGAGATCAATCCCGCTTGTTTTCACGGCGAGATACGTTAATAAGTGTGCGTGAAAAACGTTTGTGCACAACCAAGAACTATAGCAGTGCCTATTGTGATAGCAGCTTTTTGCTGCTCCCGTGACATGACAACAGTAGGTACTCAGCTGTTATGCACAGCATTGGACAAAAACAGCCACATATACACAATGTATACAGCGCGAGAAACAAAAGAACACGCGCGCGCACACAATGGGCTGAACAATGAGCGACAACGAATCCGCTGCCAAAAACTGTTATCACATATAGATATAAATGGTGAAAAAATCTTCGAGACAATACTCTAAAAAGCTCTTTTGTCTTGTGATACTTCATTTTAACGTTGTAATCCAGGCAACCGTAATCAAACGCATTGTGGACAAAGGACTGAACAAACCCTCCAACATACAACCTTGCAGTGTTTAGTATCTTCAGTAAAACATCTTGAATGATTTTTTCGCGCTATATTAAGGTTTGAAAACTTATTTGGTTACAAAAACAGCGCAAAAATCGGGATAATAAAACACCACAAAACTTACCGTTGTGACAGCTCGAGATCAGTGGTTTTCACTGCTTACACGAAGCGCTGATAACTGTTTTAGCATCCTCTGTGGCGAAGCATTCAGAATCTGGTCTGTGATCTAATAAGACAACCGATGAGCCACTATAGCCTATAGTACTGATTCGGTATTAGCATTTGCCTGCATTTTTGGCATCCCTCCGGTTTCCTCTCGTTCTAGCGTTTGTCTGATGGCACTCAGTGTTTTCATTTTGATTCACATGCTCCGTGTCTTTGGAGTGTACCATTCCCTTAAGAGTGGGGGGAGGTGCACAATGGGGGCCTCAGTGAATGAAGCTAAAGCATTGTGCACCCCATTCAGTATTAGTTTTAACAAATTGTCCATTCATATAAGGATATACTTTACATTTTGGATGTGCAAAATGTTAGTGTAAGCAATATAACTGTAAGTGGGCAAAGTAAATGCAACCACAAAACTTGTAACGTGACAGCCTTCTAACAACGTTATGGCAACATGCTCTCCATTTTTGCTCCGTGTCTTTGGAGTGTACCATTCCCTTAAGAGTGGGGGGAGGTGCACAATGGGGGCCTCAGTGAATGAAGCTGAAGCATTGTGCACCCCATTCAGTATTAGTTTTAACAAATTGTCCATTCATATAAGGATATACTTTACATTTTGGATGTGCAAAATGTTAGTGTAAGCAATATAACTGTAAGTGGGCAAAGTAAATGCAACCACAAAACTTGTAACGTGACAGCCTTCTAACAACGTTATGGCAACATGCTGAAAATTGCAATTTGTTGTGTGCTGAATGTTGTCACAAATCTGCCACAATGTATATGTTTTTGTCTGCTGCAAGATTTTCTTCCAAAAAAAAAAAAGGACTAGATTCCTCATTTAATGAATTCAAAACATACACAAAAAAAATAAATAAACAGATTATCTTTAACTTTCTGGCGTTTTTGTGATTCTTTTTTTTCTAATGAGACATAATTCTCACGTACAAAATGTCAACACTAAATCAATGTAATTTATTTCCTTTTCAGCTGTCACCACAAGATCCCTGCTGCGAATGAGCCAAGGAATGCAATAAATCCACTAACCCTATAAAGCTTGCAGTATCATATTTGATATGTACATTTCTAAGGCCTCTAAAATATCAGCATGATCAAAACTTTGCCGAAACTTGTTGTACACAATCATGCCCTCCGTCATCTGATTGTTAGTTGATTTTATTAGCAAGTAAATGCATATTTATGTTTATATTTTCAGAAAGTAAATTTAAGAATAACTTCTTATATTGTTAGTAATATTTCAAAATGAACATTTACTGGACTGAAGCAACTTTAGTGATTATCTTACTATTGGTTCATTTGATTACCCATACATGTTTTATTTAGGAAAGGAAAACATGCATGAAAATTTAAGTATCAAATATGATACTACAGGCTTTGAGGAGCGTTTATGCTCATCTCTCAATCATTATTGTATTGAAGACATTATATGCTTTGCCCCCTACACTGAAATCTACAGAGCTTTGATTAAAGCTCTGTAAGATATATCAATCTTAATAAGATATACAGTATTAAAATATAGCGATAACGATATAGTGAGATAACTGATATTTATATGCGTTTTATGTAAGTAGTCTGTTTTGAAGATCTCATTGATTTACATTACATGCAGAATTCCATCCATCTTTTTGGCCATATATAAATAACTGCATCAAATTGCATATTTTGCTTGGTTTGGGCTTCTGAATTTAATTAAGCTGTTTCCCCCCCTCAGCTGTGAGCTCTATATTCTCACAATATCATAGCCTAATATACGAGTCATAAATGATGTGTCAATTATAATACAAACTATGAACAAATATATGCAAAACTGTGTTTTAATATATAAAGAATATAAGATTGCACATTTCTTATATAACAAATATGTCACAGGAAAGTTTTGACTAATTTCTGGCGCTGTCTAGTACAGAAACCTGACACGATTAATAGAAAAGAAGCTTCAAAATCATCAAAGTTATACAGTATGACTCGTCTAAATAGACCAATGGCCATCAATGAGATGTAAAGAAACCTTTGTATATATACAGAGCATACTGTTTCTGTTCATCTGTGCAGGGGATGGCTGTTGCTGGTGCGATCTACACTCTTAAAAATAAAGGTGCTTCAAGCGATGCCGTAGAAGAACCATTTTTGGTTCCACAAAGAACCATTCAGTCAAAGGTTCTTTAAAGAACCATCTCTTTCTTACCTTTTTATAATCTGAAGAACCTTCTTTCACCACAAAGAACCTTTTGTCAAACAGAAAGGTTCTTCAGATGTTAAAGGTTCTTTATGGAACCATTTAGACAAAAAGGTTCTTCTATGGCACCTTTATTTTTAAGAGTGTATAGCACACCGTTCAGGTTTTCAGCATCTGGTTGCAACAGATGAACTTGCTCTACTTATTTCAACAGGGTCAGATATGAAGCACTATCGCCCTCCTGCGTGACAGCTGCATCAAGCTGCACCAACTTTAAAATAAAATGTTTCCTATTTTTTCTTAATTAAAATGAAATGAGTGTCGGAGTTATGCTATACAAATTAACATGTAAATAGACAAAATGTACAGAAAATTATTCAAACTGACGTCCATGTTTAAATTAGTATTACAAACCACTTTCTTTGCAACAGCACTTTCTGTTAGGGATTAGTAGTGTATTTCGACCTTTATTTTGTAGCAGATAAATGAAGTAAGATCGCACATAAAACAGACGCTAAAGCAAACAGTTTTACTCAATATTTTCACACTTACTGCACAAAATTATTTTGTCTTTTTCTTGTTTTCTTCACATATGGCCCGGACACCGTTGTCTCCTTGTTAAACAAGTTTGACTAGCTTTTTATTACACGTTAAAATTTGGGCAAAATTGCTTAGTGTGGAAATATTACTTTTAACGTCATTATAGACATAAATAATTGTCTATGGAAAATCATACTCTGAACAGTTACGCGTGCAAAGTCCCCCCTCTGCTGGTGATACGTTGAAACTGCTGCGGGGATAGGTTAAATAGACAATGCACGTTAGAATACGTTCCTTAAAGGGATACTTCACCCAAAAATTCTGGCATTAATTACTCACCCTCGTGTCGCTCCAAACCCGTAAGACCTTCGTTCATCTTCAAAACACAAATTAAGATATTTTTTATGAAACCCGAGAGCTTTCTGTCCCTGCATAGGCAGCAATGCAACTGACACGTTCAAGGCCCAGAAAGGCAGTAAGGACATTGTTAAACTAGTCCATGCGACATCAGTGGTTCAACCGTAATTTTATGAAGCTACGAGAATACATTTTGTGCGCAAAAAAAACAAAAATAACAACTTCAACAATTCACGAGAGTACCACGATGTTTCTGGACCTTGAACCTGTCAGTTTCCTTACTGTCTATGCATGGATGGTTTAAAAGGTTTTTTTTTTTTTTTTACAGAATTATTCCGGAAACCTCAGCAGCCAGTTATATTTTGTAGAAACATCAGGATTTATATATATATATATATATATATATATATATATTTGCATATTTGCATGATTTAAGTGATTTTAAAATGCATAGACACATGAAGTATACAATAAAATCTAGGTGAGTTCACTTAGCCACCAACATTTTGATTTGTCACAGTACAAATACACCAATATGTGGTATATTTAGTGAACGTTTCATCTTAAATATGAATATTTTCCTTTTTGTTTCCATTGTTGTGCATGCAACCGATGACTATTGGTTTTGAAATAGTAATTACATCCCTTAGAGGCTGTGCTTTGAGGTCTCACCACAAACTATCAAATGCCCTGGACTGCCTAATTCTGGTGCTCCAATAAATGTTTGATCCATGAACCACTAAGAGGCTGGCTGTGTACCACAAATAAATCAGAACCATCTGCTGAAATGTGATGGGGATTTTGTGGAGAAACAGAACCATGAAGTTCGGTTCATGCCAATCCGCAAATCAGGCTGACCCATGCACAACCCACAAACATTTATTTTCCTTTTTTAAATGTATTTAAAGCACATGTAACTTGATTTAAATAGACTACTGAAGCAAATCATTGAGTCCCATATTTCTGGTTGTTTATGGCTTAGCTTGAAGTAGTGGCTTTGAATCCATTTCAGTAATTCAGGTGGTCAATACAACGTATTGTATTACAATATAACAAGTATATTTCTATTACACTGTTCATGCCAATCCGCAAATCAGGCTGACCCATGCACAACCCACAAACATTTATTTTTAAATGTATTTAAAGCACATGTAACTTGATTTAAATAGACTACTGAAGCAAATCATTGAGTCCCATATTTCTGGTTGTTTATGGCTTAGCTTGAAGTAGTGGCTTTGAATCCATTTCAGTAATTCAGGTGGTCAATACAACGTATTGTATTACAATATAACAAGTATATTTCTATTACACGTTTCACTGTAAAATCGACAACAGGCCTAAAATAATGGGTTGCGGCCTCGTTGGTGTGGAATGAAAAATAGTTGACTGTCTCTTTAAGACTGCGCTATTGTCATTGGTGAACGACCATCTGTATCGTGTGCGCTTGTGCAGGTTTATTCTATTCCAGGGGCGAGTGAGTGTTATTATAAGGCCTAGAATTTAATGCACCTGCATTGAGCGAAATACTACTTATTGTACTGAATTATATATTGTAACAAATGCTCATTTGACGCGTTACTGGCAAATAACACAATCCGGATAAAAATGGCTGAATTACCGATGGGGAAAGGGGTCTCCGCAGGAAAAATAGCAAGCAATGTACAGAAAAAAATTACCAGGGCTCAGGAAAAGGTAAGACACGTTAATAATCCAATACGTTATCTCTCTCTAAACTGATGTCAGTGTTATCTACCTTACATCTCAATAAAACAGTGTCGTGATGCATAAAAACACGGAACGTATCAGAGCCGAGGCTCATCCACAGACAGACTAGCAAATACTAAAACACATGCATTTGCCTCTCCTATATTTGCAGATGTTGTAAGAAAGTTATGGGTAAAACAATTTTGCAGACGCAAGCTCGCTCGTTATTTCATTGCAGTGGGGCTGCTATGGAAACAAGTAGAAAGCTGCACCTGTAACACTAGATTTGTGCGTTCGCTTTAAAACCACGACGATCGGCTCTCTGTGTGTTTCACGCTTGAATCAACCCATTTATTGCCTTTGAACCATTGCTTTAACCTGTACTCTTCCAGTAGATGAGCGCGGCGGCGATGTCCGGATTCGTAAACGAATCGTTCTTTTGAATAGGATCTTTTTTTAATGAATCGGTTCAAAAAACGACAGTCCAAACGATTCGTTCACGAATCTGATCACGAGTCATCGGCTCACTCATTCATTAACCCGAGAACCGCCACCAGTGTTGGGGAAAGTTACTTTTAAAAGTAATGCATTACAATATTGCGGTACTCCATAAAAAGTAACTAATTACGTTAGTTACTCTTTATGGAAAGTAATGCGTTACGTTACTTTTGCGTTACTTTTTAAATCTGGACAGGGCTTGCTTGTTTGTTTAAAAAAAAAAAAAGTTATATTTTTGGCAACTATAAAAGCCTTTTCAAACCAAAAGTGAAATGAATAAGCCTCAGGCTGAAGGGAAAGTAAATGTACGTCCGTATAGTAGAATGCAGAAGAAGACATTTCAACACAATTCAGCAATAAAAAAAAAGCACACAAATGTTTGTCTAGAGTCATTTCTGCTTATTAGTACGGTTGAACTGGATCATCGAAGGTCAGAAGCAAAGACATTGGTTAACAGAATGGGATTAAATACATAAAGGATATTTGTGTTGTTTAACATTTAATTATTGCAGGTTTGCGTCATATTCTGAGTTGCATTATTTTTATTCATTTTGAGGAATACTGAATCTGTGTGTTTTTTTGTGAGTGAGATTAATTCATGCATATTTATGTTTATTTTAGAACTACAGTAACATCTGATTTCTCTCAACATGGGGACAGGAGAGCTGTCAAGCAATAAATTGGGGGAAAAAAGTAACTTGCGTTACTTATTTGAAAAAGTAACTGGGATATGATCTTGGAAATTAAAAAGTAATGCGTTACTTTACTAGTTACCTGAAAAAAAGTAATCTGATTACGTAACTTGCATTACTTGTAATGCGTTACCCCCAACACTGCCCGCCACTATCATGCATGGCCGATTTGACAGAACTGTGCGATGCACGTGAATTTTAGTGTTTTAATACGTTTAGAATAGAATAGCCTAGTATAAGTTGAAGTTTTTTTTATAAGTTTAGTAATGGCTACTATAAACTAAACTGAGGAATTACAATAAACTAAAGCAATTATTAATGTGATAAACAGAAATATGAGCGTGCATATTGGAATATTTTAGAACATCACGTTGGAATAGCAGGAGCCACATGATGACGCAATTACGTTGTTTTAACCGGTTCTTCGAACGAATTGTTCTAAAAAACCGATTCACGGAAATGAGTCACTTCCCTTCACCACAGTAAATGAGCAGCTGCATCGCTCACTGCTGCCCAGCATCCTTTATCTCTTTTAATTGCTGCAGCCTGACATTTGACAACTTTATGTACAATTCACCAACAGCTTTTTTAGACTCTTCAAACTAAAAAGTAAATTGTGGTCATAAATGTTACCAGTGGGATTAAATGGGGCCATCTGGCTTTTCTGACTATTGATTGTGCGTTTCCTTTAGAACGATGTTTGGGTTCTTCACTCCAGCTGTCACTGAATAAGGCTATGGAAATGAGAGATTTCATGGTCTTTGAGCAATAGATACGGCATTGACAATTTATCCATTATATTTGTACAGCATTTAATAAATATAGTCCCACTTAGATTGTCTCTATGGTCATCTGTGCAGCTAGAGGAGCTTGACTTGAATCTTGTGCTGTTGTTTTCTAAGGAGCAGCAGTCTTTTATGTTGTAGACACACATTTACAGGATAATGCAGATATCCAGGTTTAACCTATTGTTGAATATGAGAGGTTAAAATATCCAAAGTTCATTCAATTGTAGAAACTTGGTGGCGTGTCGGATTAAAACACTGGAAAAACACTAGTCCTTTGCTCTCTTTTATTCTATTCGATTGAAGAAGCATAAATCTTTAGCAATTCACATGACATGAAGTTCACAAAGTCACGTGGAGCAGGACTACTAGGTTGGATATGATGAACAGGATGAATAGGATAAACAGGATGGTTTTAAGTCACTACAAACAATTCAAAAGAGAAATCAAACTCATACAATCAATTCATCGATAAACATCAATATTGTATTCAATCCAAATAGGGACTAAATATCTAAACAATTCAAATAAACAAATTCAAACTATACAATTGGCAAACAGACTTACTTAACACATCCTAAGGAAAGGACTCAAAGAACATGGTTGGGTGTCCATTCAAACACCCACACCTCACCAATGCAAAATGGACAAAAGAAGGAAGTAAGGTCTATTTATACCAGGGGAATATGGGTAATGTAGTGCACCATATATGGAAATACAGTTTACTAGGAATTGTGGGAGATGTAGTACAAAGAAAAAATAAGAAAAATTAGAAACAAATGAGTCAAATTCACAACACCTATGGTGTTCTCATCGATGCAAGGACACTCTCTCTGTATAAAAGTTCTGGTTTGTCATTGCACATTGAAAAACAACACTTTCTTTTTCATTTAATATTTCAGTAACATGAAGTACACAACTACCAAAACTGGAAATGTAACAAGCCACTATAATTGTTTTTTAAATATATAAGTAATGTGGTCAATAATGCAACTATCTTCTCTCAGGTTCTTCAAAAGCTTGGCAAGGCAGACGAGACTAAAGATCTGGCATTTGAAGAGGGTGTGATCAACTTCAACAAACAGCTGGTAAGTTTTTGTTTTTTTTCTCGAACTCATTATTTTTTCAAATGTTCATCTGAAACAGTGTAAGCATCGGGAATCTGTTATGGTTTTATTCTCTTGGTCTATGACTCTCTGTTTCAATTTTTTTGTCATGGGCTCACATAGGTTGAGGGTACCAAACTGCAGAAAGACCTGCGGGCCTATTTGTCTGCTGTGAAAGGTGAGATTATCGATTGACAAATTTACACACCTAAATGCAGCATGAATTAAATATGTTGTTTTCTTAGCCTTGCTGATCTCTTTCTCGTGGTTTCCCCCAGCCATGCATGAGTCTTCTAAACATCTGTACGAGTGCCTGGATGACATGTATGAGCCTGACTGGTATGGCAGAAAGGATGTGGACTCTCTCTTTGAGGTTATTTTATACTTAAGTCAATGTCAGTAAAATGTGTTTTAGACTCTCACAGTAATTCAAGAGTAAATTGAGCCCCCTTTTTCATATGAGAAAATGTGTTGTTTTTGTCTGAATTTATAAAGTATACATTCAGACAAAAATCTTTTTCTCCAATATCATTTACAGCTGACTAGCAAGTAGCAGATCTTTGCCAAATGACTATTTGTGTCTCGCCTCAGCTTTATATTTCAAAAGGAAATAATTTCAACACAGGACAGAAACTTGCGTTCGCCAAGCAATTTCATTGGGTTTTTTTTAAGTAAAGAGTAAACCAGATGATCAAGAATGGCATAAAATTCCTTTAACACTTTAATTGAGGGCAGATATGGCACAAGGTATCCCCTACAGCTTTTCTCCTTTCCATTTTATTGTTTTTAATTCACGCCCATCTGTCATTTCACCATGCCTTTTATTACATATTACACTAACTACCGTTAAAAGTTTGGGATTGGTAAGATTTTTTTTATGTTTTGAAAGAAGTCTCGTATGCTCGCCAAGGCTGCATGTAAAATGATTAAAAATACAGAAAACAATAATATTGTGAAATATTATTACACTTAAAAAAACTGAACTGGACTATTTTCTCTTTAAATATATATTAAAATGTAATTTATTTCTGTGAAGGCAAGGCTTAATTTTAGCAGCCATTACTCCAGACTTAAGTGATTCAGGTGATTAGAAATCATTATAATATGCTAATTTGCTGCTCAAGAAACATTTCTTGTCATCAATGTTAAAAACAGTTTTACTGCTTTAAAAGTTTTGTGGAAATAGTGATACATTTATTTTCAGGGTTCTTTACTCTCACTTTTGATCAATTTAATGTGTCCTAGCTGAATAAAAGTATTAATTTCCTTTTCCTTTTTTTATCTTACTGACCCCAAGCATTTGAACAGTAGTATATGTGTGTCCATTCTACGTGTCCACCATTTTTACTTGATTTCTGCTTTCTTTGAAAGGAATGTTAGGAGTGAGGAAACAGATGGGAGGTAATGCAAGGGGTTTTGATTATAACTTAGTCTTTGACTCATTGTTTATTCTCATAGCTAGTTTATAAACATGTAAATGCTATATGGTTTTTCAACAGTAACCACAAGAAAGTATTATTTAACCACACAAGTAGTGACACTAGAATTAGCCTAAATAGTTTTACAACTCTATAATGATCCAGCTGCTCTGTAGTTGTCCCTATAGATACAGTACATGTCTCTGCGAATGTGTGTGGATGTGTATTTAAGATGGTTTTGCACCATCCTGATTTTTTGTATCTATTGTTGTGTGTGTATAACAGGATTCAGACATCCTTTGGACAGACTTCCATCAGAAACTTGTGGACCATGCGCTTATATCCATGGACACTTACCTGGGCCAGTTTCCTGACATCAAAGTACTAAGATCCCATGACGATGCTGCAGTTTAGCATATCATGCTGTGATTTTCTGTTTAATGTCTGTATAATTCTTTCCAGGTCCGTATTGCAAAGCGTGACAGGAAGCTGGTGGACTATGACAGTGCACGACACAACTATGCTGCGGTAAACAAAGGCAAGAAAAAGGAGGGGATCAAGATCACCAAGGTACAGCCCTTAGTTTTGATGTTGTTTTAATGTTTCTACAGTCAGTTCATATCAAGGAAGATTTATGTTTCATGTATTTTTTATTTTTATTTTTTCCTCTATGTAGCCAGCTTCCCTGCTGGAGAGGGCCGCCCCAGGCTGGGCACAGGGGATCCTGTCTGCCCATAACGTGGCTCAAACCAACCTCACCAGGAGTCAGGTGACCCACTATAACTTTTAAAGGCAGAGTAAGTGATTTCTGGTAGCCAATGTTGATATTCGAAATCACCAAAACAAACACACCCCTACCCCAAAAGGGTCTTGCCCCTATTTTGATAGCTCCGCCCCACATATACGTACGCAACCCAGGCAACGATTAGTTCAGTGAAACAAAGCAAAACCAATGTTACACTGTGTCTACGGACTTGAGTGGCGCGGCGCAACAAATTTATGACGTGCTGACACAAATTTCAAATGGTTTTCAATGGTAGTTTAATCGCGTCCAGTGTAGGCAGACTTTAGCTGTTGTAGACACAGTGTTACTCACCTATTGAGAAGAAACAAAGCAACCTCGGCGTCCAATCGCAGGTCTCCGCTCCTTGAGTTCTCTCCAGCGCTGGAAAGCTGATCCGATATTTACACGGGTCCTACTTCTTGCCTTATCGTTCCGCAGACGTTTTCCTCTTTTGTTTTTTATCCGCCATCTCTATCTTTCTGTCGCTCGGCTTGGCTAATGTCCGTCCCATGCAATGAAAGCTCTCTCCTCCACATCACGAGTAGACACGCCCCTTATTGCTGATTGGCTACAAGTTTGTTTTGCTATTCGGCCCGAAGGTTGCCGAAAAATCACATACCCTGCCTTTAAAGCAGCACTATGTAACTTTTTCTATGTTCAAAATTTCCAAAATGTATCTAATGAGCGAGTACATCATGAATTAATCTTCTTGTTTATTAACCGCTAGAGCGTCAAAAGTTACATAGTGCTGCTTTAAAGCGATAGTTCACCAGAATTCTGTCATCATTTATGTACCCTCGAGTTGTTCCAAACCCGTTTGAGTTTCGTCTCGTGGGTGATTGAGATTATTGAACTCCATGTCATGTGATAATGTCATTTTATGTGTTCATAGGCAGAGGAAGAGCTGGAGAGGGCGCAGAAAGTGTTTGAGGAGATTAATATAGATTTGCAAGAGGAACTGCCATCTCTGTGGAACAGGTCTGGATTTATTTACTGTCTTACTTTCACTGATCTTCTCTGTGTTTACTCTCACAGATGTTTTTTTATATATAAACAAGCTAATAAATAACAGACATTTGACTGCTAGCTTACTCTGGCAAAAAACTTGGCTATATATACTTAGACTCAAGACTTGAGTTCATTTTCTTTATGTGAAATGTATGGGCGGATAAATGTAAAATCAATAATAATAATAGACTAGTGTTTAACAATGCAGTAATACAATCAAATTATTGCACAACAGTCTCTGTTTTACAGACAACATCAAAGACTTTAGTGGAAAATGCATCTGTTTTTAAATAATAAAATGCAGTTTAATTGCTAAGAGCAGGTGCCTCAAACAAAAGTCTATTTCACAGATTCACTGCCACGAGCCTCTGTATTTGCCACTTTGTCAAATACAGTACCTGTACACCCTGATTCACAGAAATTATGTAGAAGCCTGAGAATCTGATTCATGACTCTTGCCATTTTTGTGTGCAATATGCACCAGATGGGTCATAAATGGTCCATGGGTGTACCATCTTAGTCTGAGATCTGTTGTCATCTTATGGAGGGCTAAGAATTTGTTTGCTCTCTTCCAGTCGTGTTGGCTTTTATGTGAATACATTCCAGAGTATGGCTGGTCTGGAGGAGAAGTTTCACAAAGAAATGGGAAAAGTAAGGACTCCAGCACACCACCATCAACTAACAGAACTTTATGGTTATGTTTTGTATATAAGTTGTAATTTAATTAGAAGTAAATATTCTGGTGATGTGTATATACAATATACAGTGGGGAAAAAAAGTATTTAGTCAGCCACCAATTGTGCAAGTTCTCCCACTTAAAAAGATGAGAGAGGCCTGTAATTTTCATCATAGGTATACCTCAACTATGAGAGACGAAATGAGTGGCTTTTATGTGAATACATTCCAGAGTATGGCTGGTCTGGAGGAGAAGTTTCACAAAGAAATGGGAAAAGTAAGGACTCCAGCACAACACCATCAACTGACAGAACTTTATGGTTATGTTTTGTATATAAGTTGTAATTTAATTAGAAGTAAATATTCTGGTGATGTGTATATATATATATATATATATATATATATATATATATGACAAAAATTGTAGTTAGTAACATAATCCATTACAGTACACATTTTACGTAATAGAATCAGATTATGTTTTGATTACTTTTGACCTAACTTGTTTATCACATTGATTTGAATAGGATAATCTTGTACCATAGTGATATAAAAATACAAAGAGTAATAAAATATATTCAATTTGTTGTAATTAACAACATAAAATGCATTAAACTTTACATTACGTCAAGGTTTCCCAAACTGGGGTTTGTAAAGGGACTGTAGGGGGTTCGTGAGTTTAATGAAAAGCTAATAATTAATACAATTCTAAAAATGTAAAATTAAAATAAATAATTTTTTTAATAAAATCAATCAAAATAAAACACTTATGAATACTTACAATAATGAAATATTTTATTTGTTTACCTGCATGTCGTGTGACCATTAGCCAAGGTCAGAGAATGGTGAATATGTAAATGTGATACTTAATTATTAAAATATTTATTTTAAAATCTCGGTGGTACTGCAAGATGAAAGATTTTCAAAAGTTTGGAAATCCTTGCATTACATGTAAATATGAAATAATGTGAATTTGTACATTTGAATGTGTTTGAAAGACAGAATTGCATGGTTAACCTACTGAGTAAATCAGATAATCACCTGACTAATGACTGGTCTTTGTGTGAATGTTCACAAAACTGGAAGACTTTCTGAATGTATATAAGCAGTAGGCTATTTTAGAAAGGACATTTAAAAGATGAAAAATAAGAATTAAGGAGAATCAATAAATTCTGTGAATAATATGTAATCATGCAATCAATAAAAAAGTAACTGTAGTTTGATTACAAGTATTTTAAAATGTATTTTAATCTAATAACAAGTACTTAATTTTTTAAATCTGATTACGTAATCCAGATTACATGTAATCAATTGCTACCCAGCTCTCTTTTTGTAACCTTTTTCTTACAGATTAATCAGAATCTGAATGATACGCTGGAGAAATTAGAAAATCAAGATGTGTCCAGGTTAGTCAAATTTATAAGCAGCATACATACATAGTGCTTCATTTATAAGCACTGAATTGTATTAATTGTACCATGCTGGTTCATTTTGATCCATTCTGCCTCAAAATGGTGTCTAAATTGTGCATATGGCAATAATTAGTATTGGTATAATTACATACAGTTTATACAATTAAATAAATGAACAAACCCCAACACCACTCTCACAGAAAAACAGGTAGCCAAGAGGTGAGGACATCAACAGCCCAGAAGAGGTAACCGCGGTAGCCCTACAGTGCTGTGTGTGCATGTGTCTGCATTCTGTACTAAAGCTTTTTGCGTGCCCTCAAGTGCTGCCCAACTAGACAGTGGTTTGTCTTGTGCAGTCCGTCTGCAGCACTGAAACTGTAGTTGTTATACAGTAATAATTTCCAGCAATAGTTTTGCATTCTGAAATTGTGTGTTTTAGATGATGCCTTCACAGTGCGTTTGAGTTCACTGCATGAGCAGAAAGATTTTGCACAGGAAGTAACTGCGTCTGCATGAATAACTGTTAAGTTTGATACTGTCCTACTAGTTACAGTATGTCAGTTCTGGCTTGAAAGTATCCTAGATAGGCTTTTGGTCACACTGGTCATCTAAGACTAAAACTTGCAGTGTGAAGTATTGGTGCTTGGGTTGAGCCTAATCAAAGCATGACACAGAAGGGCTCTTCATAGCCATGGTACTGTATATCATCATTTGTACTTTATGCTCCAGTGACCGAACACAAGATGCCAATCACACGTTGAGCCCAGGAGGACCTCCAGCCATTCCCAAATCTCCATCCAAGGTATGCATTTAGAAATCATCATGTATTTGCCATGGACAATAACACAGCCCTGCGTCTTGAGAAAAAAAAAGCTGAGCAAAAATTTGTAATTGCCATGATTTCTCAATATTGCAGTGATTTCTCTGAAATATGAAACCCTATTTCATATTTATGTGGGTTTCCAGTTAAAGCCAGCGGTTCCTCCACCTCCTAAAGTTACTCCATCAAAGGATATGAAGCAGGAGAACATTATCAATCTGTTTGGTGAGGCTGCCACTCCAAACATCAGTGTCACTTCGCCAACACAGGTCAGCAGTACTTTCTTCTCCTGTATCCCTCGTCTTCAGGAATGAAGATGCTACTTATAAATACACCAGCGTTGGCTAAAATGTACAGTTTGAAAACTGATTCCCTGCCACAAGTTGGAATTTGAATAGCAGGATGTTGTATCTAAGTTGGAATGAGGGGGTTACTGAATTAAAATTCAAAAAATGTTATTGGTATGAAGAAAATGGCCAACAGCAGGCCACTTATCAGGTGTTCTTTTAAAAGTTTCCATCTTTTAAGCCCACTTGTTGTTTGGCTCCATTTTGAAGACTTTAGGGTAAATTGTCAAATTGAAAGTTAATTTATTAAATATGAATTACATTTCTATGGATGGAATAGAACTGTTGCATGTAATAATTATTGCAGGTAGTAATTAATACTGAAAAGTAAAAACAACATTCTTAATTCAATTCTGAATGACAACCATAAATTTTTTTTGTGTGAGATACATTTTTACATTACATCAGTAATCATCAATAATATTTTAAGCAGTACTTAGAAAGTTGTTACCCTAGCAGTATGCTAGTGTGAAACTATTGTAATCAACTGTTAAGGTGCGGTCACATATACTGTTCTGCAAATTTTCATGGGTTTGATCAAATAAATGCAGTCTTTGGGACCCTTGTTTCAAAAACTTTCTTTTGAATGGTAGTGTATGCTGAAAATCAGGTGATTATCACTCCCTCTGGTGGACTGAAGGAACAGCTGCAGACTCCCTCATCAGCCTTTAAGATTTGAAAGGGTAGCATTAGCTTGTCAGGCACTAAGTGGAGAACCTTCAATGTTTTGATGCTAATTATTCATATAATACATTAAAACGTATAACGTTTATGTCTGTTGTTGTATTTACATTTATTGTTTAATCCAGACTGCACAGGAATGCACTGAGAGCACAGAGAGTGTAGAGATGCCAGAATCCTTCCTATTTAAAGTAAGTGAAAAATGATGGTTTAATTTAACTATCATTGGTCTTTTAATCAGAATTTGAAGCAGAAGAAGTGAGACATGTATTTGTGTGAATATAGGTGAAAACAGTGCATGACTACAATGCTACTGACTCCGATGAGTTAGAGTTGAAGGCAGGAGATGTGGTGCTGGTAGTGAGCTATGGAAACCCAGAAGAGCAGGTTAGTCGATAGTCGGTTGTTTCGACCAGTTCTTACCCAAGAGATCTTGGTGTTAGGATCACCTAACTGAGTTTCTGTGCTTACAGGATGAAGGGTGGCTGATGGGAGTCAGAGAGTCCGACTGGAGTCAGAATAAAGATCTTGGGAAAAAAGGAGTCTTTCCTGAAAACTTCACCCAGAGGATGTGAGAGCCTGTGATCCGCTTGATCTGTTGTTAACCCTTCTATATAACTCCTTATTGCTTCCCTTAATAAAGCAGACAAGAAACACTGTACTAGACCAACACATGCACAGCCACAGGCAAGCTGCTGGTTATGTTTGTGAAAGTTGTTGACAGGTCAGTATTTGCATTGTTTTGGGTGTCCTCACTGTGACTCATATTTGTCATGGTGCAAGTATAAGAAGATTGGATCAACCTTTGACAAAATAAATGATATTCTGTTAACTAGTAACATACCCAGAGTAAGTCCTTGCTATAAATGTTTTTAGACTAGCTACTCTTAACCATGTCCCGTTTTGTGTGGAAATGTTTTAAAGTCATATCCCAAATGAGCTCACAAGTCTCTATAGTCTAATAGTGAGCACTACTTGAGCTGCATGATCTATATAGTTATGTCACAGTCGGAAGCAAACAGTATTTCTTTTTTTAAAAAAGTGAATAATATTCCTCTCTCAATGCTGGAATACACTACATGACTTTTAAAATCTGAACAGATTTTAAAACACTAGGCATTATGCACTTGCAGACTTTGTGAATGGTTACAGAGGAAAAACTGGGCATCAAACACTGAATGACTGAGAATCACACACTGTCAGACTTTCAAGTTGTTCCAAAGACAACAAACTCATTGTTTCTAGGAGACGCATGACAAATGAAAACAATCCATGTTCTAAAATCTGCTCAAAATATCAAACGTTTAATATCCTCTAAATGGATGGAATCACAGGCTGAATCTAAAACAACAGAGTATGTGCCCATTATACTCTATTCGATTTTCTGTAAAATCTGTCAGCTCCTACTACCCGAAATCTGCAGACTGGCTCTGACTTTCAGCAACTAGTGCCGACTCCTCCAAATCGGGGCAAGAATCTGTACAACAGTTGTGTAGAGTATTCCAGCCTTCAGTTACATAATCCTACAGTTTTAACAGCTGAGCGCTCCTTCATGCAAACGGAGTTTGACTGCTCAGAGTCAAACATCTACCAGCACCATTTCTGCATGTTTAAATCAGGAACAAACGAAAAAGTTCAAAATCGTTAAAGGAGTATTTAATGCTTCTCATTAACAAACAAAAAACATATGCACTCGTCCCATATGCAGTTTTTGTTGACACTAATGAGGCTGACATTTTTAACCCCAGACTTGCTCAGGTTATATTTATATGAACCTGTGTGCTGTCTTTCACCCTTAGCTTTACACAGTATTACTGTCTACCAATTTGTTTTCTTTCTTTTTGATGAAGCCATTTCAGATTTTAATATGTAATTAATATTGTAATTCACTGTGTAAATGGAGTCATGTACACGTACTTGTCTCGGCCATTAAGTAAAATACAGTTTTACTCAGTGAAGGAGAATTTCTGTCCTTCTTAATTAACATGAAATGCAATAATCTCTGCACAGATTTTTATTTCTTTATGAACTGTATTCATAGACATGTCGGAAATATTGGATATTGGCATTTTGTGATTTGAAAGTGGATATTAACGCTCGCTTGTGTGCGTTTTAATCCAGTACAACATTCAAAAGTGATTCAGAATATGCATTATACGAATTCAGTCCTCTTACATTGTAATTATAGTTTTATTTTTGTACATTGTGAGACAAATGAGAGTTAAAATGATTCTATCTATGTGCCATGAACACTGGCTTTTAACTGGGGTCTTTCTCAGTGATGTATAGCTACTCTTGTCTTTTCATGTTTGGATCAAAACGGACCATCATAGCAGCAAGAGCAAAGCAGGTTTAGTGAGGATATGAGCTTTTATAAGCACTGAACTCACACTGATATTGATTCCCCAGTCATCTGTTGTGCTGAATGAGAACTTCACTTGCTTTTTGTTTGGTTTGCTTGCTACCCCTGATCTCTCGCTAACTAGACATGTCATGTGACCCAAGCTTGGAGGGAGTTCTTGCCACGCTTCACCAGTTTTGAAGCAAGTGTGTGTGTTTGCGTGCTTGGTTTTTGTATCCTGTACTGAGAAATCAATGTGATCTGTATAGAGACTGATCACTGAGTTATTTAAGCTGCCAATGCATCTTTAATGACCTCTCGCGCAAGCTCTTAATTAAATCGGAAGTCCTCGTGGGTGGACAAACGCTTCCTCTTCATGTATTTGAGCGCAGTTACGATATTTGCTTGTGTTGTTGCATTTGTAGCCGTGATCATTGTGTAGTTTTGTTGAGTTTTGTCACTAACAATACAAATTCTCTGAGCATATCTATACCTGTAATTAGTGGGAATGTGAAAGGTGCATGCTTAAATCCATGAGCAGTGTGTCTGTGTAGTGACTTGATGTTTTCTTGCTGAGGTGGCCTGGGAGACCAGGGCCACTTTACGCTAATATAAGCCATGAGTGTAGTCATTCTACAGTCCTGTATCCTGCTGACTCACCAATGCTAATAAAGTCCTGTCATATTTCATCTTTTGGGTCCACAAATTGTGCACATTCAAGTACACTATGCTGCAAAAAAAAATTATTTTGTTTCAGTAAACTGAATTTAAAAATGTTTTCTGAATGTGCAACTTAACATTTGAAACTTACTTTACACTATACACACATAAAATCTTACATACATGTACATAAAATCGAGTATTACAGAAATAATGTACTTTTAAAGAATATATTCAATTGCAAACTGAATGTAATTGCATTAATTGTGATTGTGTTAATGAAATTAAATTGATTGTGTTATATATTAAATACTTTTATAGGTCATTGTCTTTGAAATATGGTTAAAGTGTACTGCCGAAATTAAAATATACAGTACATAATGTCATTTCTACTGAACATTTTGTCATATATAAATACAAAAATATTTGTAATTACCCATTTGTAATGAAGTTGCAATTCAGTAAATTTAAAATATATTAATTTTAAATGTAATATTGTATTACACATTATAGTTAAAATTATGATTCTTTACATGTGCTTTAGTATGTTAGTCAACACATTACAATAAGTGTACGTCTTTGACAAACGATAATTAACAGGACCAAAAGTCTGACACTTTAAGTACACTTAAGTGGCATTTTATTTCATTACTAGATTAGCACAGATTTTTTTAAAGAGTGCGTTTAAGATTTGAAGTACACTGCAATTGCACATTTAATACAATTAAGCACACTTCTTTTTCAAAAGGGTGAGTTTAACAGTAGACTTACAGTGGCAATCAAAATCACTGATTTCTCCACAAGTCATATCAGCTTCCCAAGCAAAGCTGTTGCAATAATCCATTGTTATTTATAGCCAGTTGGAAAATAATGATTAAAAGGAGTAATGTTGATGAAAAACTGCATGTTGCATAACTGAGTCAAAGGCCATCATATGAGGAGGAAACAGAGAGAGAGAAAGAGAGAAAGAAATAATTTAGCTAACACTGTAAAAAGAGTGACAGCACAAACAGTATTTTAAGGAAAGAAAAAGGAGCATAAAATGGTAAAGACTTATAGATGTAAGAAGCTGTTAACATGTAACGAGAAAACTTTGAACCCAGAAAGGCCTGGAAGAATAGAGAGCCTATATGTGAACTGCAGTCCTTCATTGTTGCTGAATATTGCCCTTGCACTCCAAGTAAGTATTTATTTATTTATATTTCTTATCTCTTTTACAAGTTAATGAAGTCATATGACACAGTAGAATACAATAAAAGAGTGCACTTTAACTCTTTTCGTTACTTAAGAATATACTTTCATATTTTTACAAATGCTGAAATCTTAAAGTCATAATGAAGTACATAAATCTAAAGTTCTCAGATTAAACATTGAACAAAGTCTCCATGCAGCATGTGTTGGTACTGTACTCCTGGTTGTGGATACACTCATTCAGGAAGTAGACAAAGAGAGAACAGTGGCCTGTGTGCTCTTTTACTCAGGTGTATCGACACTACTGCAGAGCTGGATTAGATCACGGTAAGATTACATTTACCCTGTTGCTTTCCATGGAAGCTGATATAGTTGTACTAAAGCATCTATAGGGTTAAGTCCAATGATTCTTCTGTTTAGTTTGCCATTGATCCTGGCTCCATCTTTGGACTTTCTGATCCCTGCCCTGGCCCTGCTTTCTGCTCAGTCAGGTGAGAATGGCGGAATTAAAGTAAACATCTAATAAAGACAATCTAATAATCTAACCAATTAAGCATACTAACAAACCCAAATGAAACCCATCTAAAGAGAAAAAAAAGTCATTGGTGCAAATTGTATTGTGGCCTGCAGGGGGCAGTGCACTGAACCAGAGGAGCCTGTGGCCCCAGCACACCCATTAAGAGAGGTAGAGCACAGTGCTGTCCGTGGTGCTGAACATTCAGACCACCCTCCATTGTCACATTGTTCTACAGTAGCACATAGTGACCGTCAGATCCCACTTACCAAAAAGGCGTAGCCAAAGTTTGTTTGTTTGTTTGTCAGGGTTATTATAGATAACTAAATTTAAAACATGTCTGTTACTTGAAATAAAATAAATGTTAACTGGAATAAAATATTTATTTATTCATTCATTTGTCAGGGTTATTATAGATAACTAATACAATTTAAAACATTTCTGTTTCTTGACAAAATAAATGTTAACTGGAATAAAATATTTATTTATTTATTGATAGCTAAAACCATTTAAACATTTCTGTTACTTGAATTAAAATACATTTGAACTGAAGTACAATATTTCTTAATTAATTTGTTTATTTATTTATTTCAGGGTTTTAAAAGGTAACTAAAAAATGTATTACTTGAAATAAAATAAATGTTAACTGAAATAAAATAATTTATTATATGTCAGCTAGTTGCCAAGGCAAAATTTTAAATTTTCATTGAAGAACTAAAATAACTAAAACTAAATAAACTAAACTATTAAACAAATGAATAAAATTGAATAAAACCTATACACAAATTAAATAATAAAAATGACATAACACACCAAAATTACTAAAACTTTAACTAAAATTAAAGTGAAAACACAAAATATAAAAATTAAATCTAATTCAAAATATTAACAAAAAATATAATGGTATATAAATGAAACTAAAATTAATAGAAAAGTTTCTTGAACACCAAATCAGCATAATTTATCGATTTCTGAAGGATCATGTACTGAAGACTGGAGTAATGACTGCTGAAAATTCAGCTTTGCCATCAAAGGGATAAACTACATTTTAAAGGGTGATGTTGCTAAAAAGAACATTATGTTGTGTATTTGGTGTAATGAGAAAGTAGTTTCGCTTTCACAACAAAAGACACAGCGTCTTCACGACATGGCGGCAGCAACAATACTACAGCGAGAATAAAAGTTACGCCTTCTTTCTTTGCGTGAACATTTGGGCGGCGTTATGCAAATCTTCCCACATTGTGACGTAGACATGTGGGGGCGTGTTAGAACGAGCCGTTTTAGGTAGGCGTGGCTAACTCTTAACTTTTATAAAGAATATCTCTTTGGATTTGAGACTTTAGTCTTTGCAACTTTACAGATCTTCTTTATGCACCAAGAGCTTGTAACACTCCAAAGAGAAAGGAAAAATTTAAATCGCATCATATGACCCCTTCAAAAATATATTAAAACAGAAAACAGTTATTGTAACAGTATTTGTAAAATATATCAATGATACTAAAATAACAATGATTTATTTATTTGTCTTTTGAGCAAATATTTTGATATTTATATATTATATTGATATTTCATATTTATCACCTTGATTTGTGTGTATGTATCTGTGCAAGTTTGTCAGTGCTTGTCCAATAAAGTTTCATTATACTTATTATACTTGGCGTATTGTGTGTATGTGTTGGTGTGTGTGCAGTTGAGAGGCATGACTGTGGTTGCAGGTATGGTGCAGCTCACTGTGGGTTTGACTGGTCTGAGTGGCTTTGCACTGGGATGTTGTGGACCATTAGTTCTGACTCCTCTCCTCTGCATTCTGGGGTTTTCCATCTAAAGGGAGGCAGCTCTGCTTTGTTCTGACCACTGGGGCATGGCTGCACTGTAAGGACACGCTTTTCTGAAGTCTTTCATATTGTGTATACTGTCCAGGAAAAAATAGCAGTTTATAACATTAGCAATTTGTAGTATTTTAATTTTTTTTGTAATTGAATAATATAGAAATACCTTATAAGATCAGATTGGAAGGAATAAGTGTTTTCTTTTGCACTGTTGCAGTCAGTGTGCAACTACACAGATACACAGACAGCACTAAATACGAATTTTCTTTTTCTTTTTTTTTCAGGGCAATTGTTCTTCTGGTGATCCTGTCTCAGCATCTGCCCTGTCTGTGTTCTCCGTCTGCAGGAGACTCTTTGTGAGTCACATCAAGGGGTTTTGTTTAAATTCAGGATGACTTAAGGCTGAAATATACAATAAGACTGAACTGATTTTAAAACACTAGGCATGATACACTTGCTGACTTTCTTTGTAAATGGTTATAGAGAGAAACTGGGCATCATACACCAAACTATTGAGGATCACACACTAACTTGCACAGAAACATGTGCCTTTTTGCTAGGAGACAAATTGAAAGAAGATGCTTGAATTGGCTTGAAATATCAAACATGTTCGATATCCTCCGACTGGATGGAATCAAAAGCTAAAAATCAGAGTCTGCACCCATCATACACTATGCGATTTTCTGTGAAATCTGCCAACTTAAATCTGCAGACTGTCTCTGACTGTCCAGACTGGAAAAGTCGTGTAGTGTATTCCAGCTGTTAGTTTGATTTTGAGAGCCATTTCTGCAAGCGTTTCTTCACTTTTTAATGTTGTGGGACTTTGCACAAAAAAGAAGTTTACTTTCACTTCCAAAACTAGTCTAACACAGACACCCTCAGTCATGATTTATGGGATTTCCTGTGTTGCACTAGTAGTCGAGCTCTTTTACAGCTTTTAACCTGCAGTACATTAGATCAGTGTTTTGCCTGTAAGAAGATTATATCATTGATCTGGGCAAAGTTTCCCAACGAAGATGTGCCTTGTGTTACAGCGATCTTTGGCTAAAATGTTCTTAATTTAATATGAGGTTGAATGTTGTCCAAGGTTATGGGAAACAGTTTAAAGCTTTTTATGAATGATCGTAAGCTCGTATTGGAATCTTGCTTTTGGGAAATCCTTATTGGTTTTTCTCTGCTGTGTGGAAGTAGACAGTGCCTGACTGTCTAGTTATTATTCTCATCCATCTAAGGCTGTGTAAATGTTTTGATGTGGGGGTGTTTGTGTGCAGCTAAAAATTTATGAATTACAATATCCAATTTGATGTATTTTTTAAAGCATTTATTTATGTTAGTTTATAAATATACATGTTACAACGTATATGTAGAAGTTTACATGAACCTAGATTCATGGTTGCTGGAATATATTTCAAATTAGATTTACACTACCCTTCTAAAGTTTTGGGTCAGTAAGATTTCTTTTTTAAGTTATTTTGATCAAAAGTGACAGTGAAGA